GGGGGGGGGGTACAGGAAAGGATGGAAATCCCTGCCCATTTCAGACTCCGTGACGGCCGCGTCTCCAACCCGAGCCTCTCGTCTCGTAGGCGACGTGGAGCACATGGAGAGTCCCAGGAGAGGGCCCCGCCCCGCGTCCCGTGCGGGGGTCGCGGACGGGTGGGGGGGCTGGTGGGTGCGGGTGAGGACGCCTGCCTCGCCCGGCCGGGCCCGGGGGCTACGGCCGAGGCTAGGGCCCTCGGCGGGGAAGGGCACCAGCGAGCCGAGCCAACAGTCTAGCAGGGTCCGCGCGCAAGTCATTTGAGTAACGTACGCAGCAGCCAAGCTGGGGCGGAGCGGGCTGTGGCTCGGAGAGGAAGGGTCACGAGTCATGTGGTCGGGTGAGAAAAACGTTGGCACTACTGCGCACACTCCTGGGTGCAGACGGGGGATTGTGGTCAGAGGTCATTAGAATTTGCTAGCAGAAAATGAACCAGCAGCGCAATCCGCACTAAGTCAGCGTGTTCCCAGTCGCACGAATATTCATTTAAATAAGTTGTTATTTCTATGTTAAATTTAAATGACTTGGAGACGTGAAAAACAAAACTACTGCTTGGTTGCTTGGTGCTGTTCTCAACGGTCGTGCGTGTAAGCGAGAGAAGCTTTGGTCGGACGTGTGTAGTGGCTGATGGTGCTGCCTCGCTCCTCCCCCCGGCCACTGGCCACTTCACCTCTCCACGCGCTGCCCGCTCCGTCGCCCACGTTCACCAAAACGAATAAAAAAGGTAAAGCGTCGCGTAATGAATGATGACCAAACACGTCCGCGCCGCTCCTCGCCGTCACACTCCTCTCTCCGTGTCGCCGTCAGTTGCCGGGCGGCGGCAGCAGACATCCGGCATCTATTCCACCTCTTTATTTTTTTGATGATTGCACTCGCGCTGTTTTGTTTGTCGTTTTAAAACGAATCCGTTACGGTCGTTTATACCAGACATCTCATACAGCAACGGGGCGCAGCAGGAGGGTCCCGTGATGGTTCAACCGGGTTCAACACCACCTGTCGAATTGCTCCACTGTACCGATCGCCGCCCGGGTGACCTCACCTTACTGCTTTAGCTTTATCACTCCCCGTCCACACCTACACTCACAATTAAGAAAAAAATACTAATACTATGTTCTTCACAACAGTTTTATGAAACTACACTTATTCAGTATTAGCAGTTTATTTTGAAAAATGCAAATTAGCTACTCATAAAACGAACCTCAGTAGCTCATAAGCATCTAAAAATAACTGGGCCAAGATGATTAAAACCACACTATAATAGGGTAATTCAAATAATTCGAAAATAAATGAAGAAGAACAAAACCGATCTAGATAAAGCTGTGTTGAGAGTAGACTCGGGAAGGAGGGCGGGTTCAGTTATTTCCCACGAACCATGGGTTCGTGGGTTCGCTTCGCTAGGATTGTTCAAAACGATCTTTTCGGTGATGCCTTTTTGAGTTCACTTTTGACTAGAACGGTCGACCTATGGGGCAGGCGGCGCTCGCCCCGCCGCTCAGACGGCGGACATGACGTAATAGCCGGTCAGGCCCTATAGGCTCGCCTAGGCCAGCCGGG